GGACGCACTCGCAGAATAAGAGCTGCCATCATCGTATTTTGGGCCTGTCTCGCCGACCATGAGCCATCTTAGATGCTTGGAATTGAGTCTTCGGTTATACAAACGGGCGTTGAAGAGTGACAAATGGCTGGACTCTGCAACTTCCCCACTCTCCCCGTGGAATTGGATGTGTGAAATACTGTTTGTTTGGAGAAGAGACCCCTTGTAGGTGCCAAAGTAAGCCTCCCTCGCGTTAACGTATAAATCCCAATGGCCCGTGTCGTGTCGCAGCACCACCTGACACGGTTTTTCTGGGTCCCACCCGGTTGAAAGTATTTGTCTACCGCCACTATGAATTACAGTCATCCACCTCCCATCATGGGTGTAAAACACACCAAATAGCACAGTCTTGTCCTCGTCATCCATCACCACACGAATCAAAGGAATGGGGGTGCGTTTCTTCGGCCTATCGTGGATGACCGCCATCACCACTAGAGTGAACGTTTTGTGTACGAAATGGTACGGTTGATTCTGTCCACTTCGGGCAACAGGCCACCCCGCCCCTGCTCCGGGTCCTTCAAACGTCACTCCATTGGAGAACCCTCTCACCGTCCCATGAACAGTTGCGTTCACGCAGAGGTACTCGTCCATCCACTCACTCCCAGTCGACAGACCAGACAAATAGCCAACAAGCCCGTCAGTAAGAATGGGACGAATACACATGCCCCTTCTCACCGGGTCGATAGTGGCAGTGGATCTGCACGTTCTTAGGGCTTCATCCAACTCCTGCCACCTCTTCAACACAGTCTTTATCCGCTCCAGCTGCGTAGTCACGTGCACAGCAACAAGACCGTATGACCCCTCACTCTTATTCTCGTACAGCGAAATCAGATTGCCCCCACTGCTATACAACAGGGAACTGGCAGCAGCGTCATCAGCTGCATCGGATATCGGCCCAGCATCATGCACACGTGCACCGTCCGTCACCCAAAGATGAAGCCGACCCCTACCATTTTTCTCCTCCAAATACACTGGCGTGGTAACAAGCAGCACTTCCCTTCCCTCAATGGTTACGGTGGTGAGGCCACAGCGAACGCCATACCCTTTTCGACCATACGAGTTGCCCCACACGCGACTAATTGGCCTACCACTCATTTCCCAACTTGTCCCAGAGTCAAGGGACCTGAATACTTCGTAGTAGCCGGCAGCGCAAGAAGTAATTAAAATTAGATTTCCTTCCAAATTCGCGATGGATGGTTCCTTGCAGTTACTACCTGTCGTACCGGACGAGAGCTCGCATGCTTCTATACGCATGTTGAAACGCATGGACAGTACAACACTCCTTCCATCCTTTTCTATTGCCTGCATGGGAAGCACAAGGTAACCGTTCTTCGTCACAACACCCGATCCTCCGCCACCGATCACCCTCTTCAGGAATTGAGTAAGCCCGATGGCCACAGGGTCCACTGCACGGATATCACCCCACATGATTTTCTTCTGCCCACCATCCTCAGTGAGAGTTCCCCTCATCAGTAAAAGCCTCCAGCCATCTGCATCGGCAGCCCGACCCCCAGACGTCTTCTTCTCGTAGTCCCCAAGGGCCATGTAGATAGTGTCGTCGCTCACAATTGTCGTTGGCTGCATCTTTTCTCGTGTCCTGATCGTACCACTGGCGGCATCCACAAGTTCTACGAGAAAAATGCCTGCATCCATCGCCGAGATCGCCTTTGAGCCACCACCGCCCGTCTCAATGTGCGTTGTTGCAATCGCAGCATGGCCGCAGGCTCCGTCCCTTTCACTGCGCTGAGCTTCAGCAACGGCAAACACACCGCCGGCCACCTCAGCAAGGCTGGGAACACAAAGCGAGCCGGCTGCCGCCTCACATCCAGTCATTTCTTGCCATTTATAGAGCGGCGGTGTCGTTCCCTGAAAAGGATCAACGGCCTTCCCTTCCCCACTACTTCCATCAACGGCTGCAGCTACAATCCTACAGCACATAATCAGAACGAGAAGAAGCACCGCGGAAGCAAACACACGCCGGGACATGTTAGGCCTCTGCCGCTCACTCTCTCTTCCTTCCCTCCTCCCTCCGCTGGATCCGGTCCCGCGGCGACGGTTGTGTGTGCGGGGTGCCTTCACTGCAGCAACACGTGAGAGCATATAAATATGTGTGTGTGGGCGGTGTGTGTGCTGTTGATCCTTTCAGTGCCTTCCAATTTCACAGTAGCGATTATAGTCTATTTTCCTTCTACGTGTGTGATTGAGAGAGAAATAGAGGAAAAACATACCAAGAAAAGAGGCAAGAGAGTAAGCACAGCCACCCATCCACAGAGAGTGACATTATCATCCCCGCCGCAGCCACTCCCAAAAACAACAACGCACGCACACAGACACACGGAACAGGAGACGGAAGAACAGTGCACCGGAAACACACAGCGACTGTTGCCACCAGCAGCAGCAGGAGCCACAGAAGGTGTGTCGTTATTCGCCGCGCGCCAGCACACAACGAAAAAGGCCCACACACAAATCGACTGGCGGAATGCAAAAGAGCACGACCGTCCTCCACAGCACCGACGCGCTGCAGGCAGTCGTTTTGCAGCTGCCTCCAAAGAACTCGGAAATCACCCCGCACAGCCGAAGAATCCTCTGTCGGCAAAACTACTACAAGAGAAACACTTCGGCAGGTGCAGCTGTTGGACGGGAATCGATAGGTATTCTTCTCAGACACCATCAATGCCACACCATTCACTGGCTGCATGCCGCCAACATCATGCCAGCAACATGTCAAAAAAACAAAACGCGGCTTTCTTCCCTCCTCGCCAGGGCCGCCGCATCCAGAATCTTGCGTGTGCGTGCATTCTCAGCAATCACGCCGCTCTACAGGGTATGCATAATGGCGTGTGTGTGTGTGTGCTTGTGCGTTTGTCAGTGCCTATAATTGCAGAGCAGCTGTGCGGCACAAGAGAGCCCAAAGAAAGCAACGGAAGAAAGAGAAGCGGATAACACACACGCAAATTACTCATATCATCACACACAAACACACACACGCAGCCCGCGGAATCGGTGCTCTCAACCACAACACAAGTAAAACAATGAAAAAGCCGAAGCGTGGGACGACCAGCGCACACACTCATTGCTCCCGTAAAGCAAAACACACACAGGGAGAGAGAGAGAGAGAGAGGTCGCCCACTCAATGCAACGGAAGCAAAAAACAAAAACAGTTACGGTGCTCCACCCATGCAGCCAGGCAGGACGGCAGCGGTGCGTGTCGTGCAAAAGAGAGCACCAACGGGCCTGCATGGGTGTGCATGCAATATATACAATGGGCACATTATGTGTGTGCTTCGTGGAATGAGGTGAGGGCGAGAGTCCATGCAAGGGGACACACACAGAGAGTGACTGAAAGACGAGTGTGTGTGCGGGCGGTGCACGGCTCTCTCTCCCTCACTCTCACGCGGCCACCACCGCAGCAGCAGCCGCACACGCAACAAGAAGAAGAAGCAAAAGAGGGAAGGTGGTGTGGGAGACCGCGGTGCTGCCGTCACTGTCGCCGGTGGTTGTTTTGTTTGTTATAGCTGTGGCTTCGACTGATGTTTCCTTCCTGTTGCCATGTTTATTTTCACCTCGTTTTGCACCTTCTGTTACTGCACCGTTAGCTGTAGGGTTATTCTTCGGCAATCCTATTTGAGTGCCCCTTTCTGCGTCAATATTAGAGGCATCACCAACAGCTAAGTGCCGTGGTTGTGTTGATTCAGAATCACCGTCAGATTCTCCATTCTGTTCGGTTAGTGCGACGGAAACATTTTCCTTTTTTTGTGAATCATTGTTTGGCTCCACGCCGTCATTGACTCCTTGAGACGTTTGCTCGGACACGTCATCTTCAGAGCTCAGCTTTTCTTTTTCTGGTTCTGTTCTTGGGTTTTCCACTGGTTTTTCATTTGTTTTCAGTGTCGCTGCTGGTGCTCCTTGCAGTGAAGCTGGTGGTGCTGCTCCATGTCCCTGTGTTGATGCTGCCGGCAATGAAGGTGCTGGCGGTGATTGTTCGCCAGTTCCTTGTCGTTCCCCTTCTGATGGCGTTGTTGCTGATGAGTGACTTCCCACTTTCGCTGAACCATTGCCTGCCTGTCTTGCTTGTCCTTCGCTACCTTGTCCATCCGGCTGCGCTTTTCGTTCTTCAAGTAATTCTCCACTTTCTTCTCCTCCTGCTCCTCCCCCTATTTGTCCTTTCTCTGCTTCTCCTTTGTCGTCCATTGATTTGTCGGCCGTTGGTGTTTCTATTTTAGAATCCTTCCTCTGATTATCAACCGCCTCATTTTTTGAATCCAACGGTTCCTCTGCGTTTTGGAGCCCTTGACTGACTTGGCCTGAAGATTCCTGTTGTCCGGTATTTCTGCCTGCGGGTCCAGGCAGTGGCCCCTTTGCTGGACCTTGACTTACATCGGTAGTTTCAGAATCATCGGCCTTTGACACTTCCACCGCACATACGCCGCACCACAGCACGCAGAGGGCACACACCAGCAGCACACGGCCAGTCATCATCATCGCCATCACTCCTGTCACTTGCGTGCAGCCTTCAGCACAAACTAACACCCCGTCAACGCAAACCAAAAAGCAAAAAAGAGACAAGTCACACAGCCACGCAACAGCCACCGCACAGTAACAAATGGCAGCAGCGCTGCAGAAGCAAGCACAAAACAATGAGACAGTTGAAATCAGTACGATTGCAGAACTCGCGCACCACCGCGTAAAGAGAAGTTTAAAAGCAATTAAAAAACAATAATTAAAGAAAGAGAAGAAAAAAACTAACCAGAGCTCCAGTGCGCATGCATATGAGTGTGTCCGCGATGCGTTCAACGTGAGGGATACAGGAAGCAGCGCGGAGCACACAGCAGGGCAGCGGAAGCAAGCAAAGCAAAAAAACAATCATCATAATTACTCTTACTTTATACATCGGATCAGATTAGACGTACACATGTCCCTGTGGCTTTGAGTGCTGGCACGCACAGCCCACACACACCCCTTCAGCCCACAGCGGTGTACGCCAGCGCGCATGCGGCGAGCAGCAGCGGGGAACACACCCACGCAGAGCTGCTGAGGCTGCCATCGATTTCGCGAAGACGTGGCTGTTTGAGCTTCGTCTTATTATCTGGGGCTTCAGTAGTCGTAGTGCTTGGTGCCTTTGTCGTAGTGGTCGTAGTGGTTGGTGCCTTTGTCGTAGTGGTCGTAGTGGTTGGCGCCTTTGTCGTAGTGGTCGTAGTGGTTGTATTTGGTGTCTGCAACTCAACGCTGTCCTCTTTACCCTTTGGGGAGGCAGACTCCTCATTTTGTAAACCTTCCTCACCGTTCCTCTCATTTTCCGGTCCCGCATGAGTGTCCGTACCTAAATCCTGACTCACATCGGAATCGTCTTCCTCTTCGGACTGAGAGGACAACGAAATCGAGCTGGTAGGTTCGTCTTCAACAGCATCAGCCGCGCATACGAACGGGCGGCAGCACAGGGCGAGCACCAACAGGGCGCACAGCAGACGGCACGTCGTCATCATCGTGAGTGTGGTCGTTCAGTGGTGTGGAGCTGATCTGCACAGTGAGGGACATGGAAAGCAATAGGGGAGACGAGAGGTGCAGCAGACACACACAGAGGGCAAGCCACATGAGGAGAGGGCAGCAGCCAGGCATGCACCGTACGCCGCACACCACGCACGACACACACTCCAATCCACGGCAGCAGGCACACACACACACAGCCCTGCCGCAGCTCCAACACACAGATGGAAGAGGGAGAAGCAAACAGGAGCGGCACACAAGGCTCCACCGCATGCACATATGGCGAGAGCGGTCCGTCGTGACGGCACTCCTCACGGAGGGTACGCACACACACAAGAGGAGGTGCAGCGCACACAGCTACACAAAAGCAAAGTAACAATAAAAAAGAGAGAGATCCCCGCACACCACGTGGATTGTTGGTCCACGGAAAGTGCAGCCAATATTCACCACAAAATAATTCAGTTACCTTTGGCCTTCGTTCATATTCAGTGCACACCACTTCATGCAGGCCCGGCCACCACCGCAGCAGCAGCAGCAGCACAACCAAAAAAATATGGGCGCAAGGAATGGAATAAAGCAAGCAACCATTTATTTGTGTTTCTGTTTAATGTTGGCCGATGTCCGCATATGTTCTTTTTTTTTGCTTTGCGGAGGGCAAACCTTCATGCCTGGGTCGTGTGTTGGGGATTCCTGCAGGGTGCACAATTTTTCTTTCCTCTTGTTAATGTTGCTTGTGTTGGTGCAGCCAATAATTCGGTTTCTGTTGTTCCCGCTTCTCGCCGTAAAGTGTTGCAATACATGCTTTTGTTTTCCTTTCGTTGCTGTGGCACCTGATTCCTCACCGTTTATTGTGGTGGAAATGAAAATATGTGAGTGGACTCCCACACACCAGAGCGCACCTTCGCTCCTATTTATTGGTGCATGGAAGGGCATGTGTGTTTGGTGGTGTCTCGTCCGTATATTTTGTGGGTGTACATTCCCCTGCAGGCTGAGGGCGGGGTGACGCTCCGTCGCGGTGCACTTCCCTCGCATGCCGCCCACTGTGATTCATCATGCATCACCCTCTCACATATTCCGTGGTGCAACACCGTTGATATTATTGCAGCCGCTGTGATTCCGCGTATTTCACGCATTTGATTGTGCCACAATACATCCGCTCGTGTGGCCGCCGCATCCAAACAGCGGTGCCCAACACCGTGAGCGGCAGTCCACATCCTTGCATGTCCCAACG